GACACTTTCGTAATTACTGGTTGAGTGGTAGTTCTGTAATTACATATTGAGTGGTAACTTTGTAATTATTTATAAGTGGTAATTTTGTAATTACCTACAAAGTAGTAGGTTTTAATTACATAGTGAGTGGCAATTATGTAATAATTCGGAGAGTGACATTTCTGTAAATAACTAAATACTACTATATGACAGTTATGTGATTATTTGTTGAATGTAAAAAAAATAATTATTTGAGGATCAATTTTGTGCGAGAAAAAGTTGACCAAAACTATAATTATCTCAAGTTAGATATGTATACGATACTTTTTAGAAAAAAGGGTAAATTACACCCACACCCCTGTGGTATGCTTAAATAATTTTAAGGTCCCCATGGTATCGATAATTACACTCACCCCCTGAAACGTAGTTAGAAACTCTAACGGGATAATGCATTGGATACATTATTCCGATAGGGTTCTAATGGACTATTACTTTTAGCTAGTGGTGGAGATAACATAAAGTTATGGGGAGTTATGGGGTGACATGGCTCGCCCAATATTTCTTAAATCAACCATAACTTTTTGTTGTCTCCACCACTTCCTGAAACCAAGAGTCCATTAGAACTCTATCGTAATAATGTATCCAATGCATTATCCCATTAGAGTTTATAATTACGTTTCAAGGGGGTGAGTGTAATTATCAATACCACAGGGGCCTTAAAGTTATTTAAGCATACCTCAGGGGTGTGGGTGTAACTTACCCTTAGAAAAAAATACATATAAAATTTTTTAAGCGGTTGCATTAGATAAATGATACTCTATATGTTCCACAATAACTATCTATTTTTAAATATATTTTGTTTTATATTATCTGTCATTATAGATTTCCAATACTACATTAATTACTTAATTTCCAGTTTATACCCTTATAAACTCTTTCTAATACTTCTTTTTTTAATTCATTTGTCTCTCTTATTAATTATAAGATAAGTTCATTTCTGCCTAAAAGCATACATTTTCGTTATAAAATCAAGACACATTTAATGGAATCCTTTACGACTATTAAAAGGGAATTGGGGGAGTACTTTTTAAGGAAACATATATTTTTTATTTTCTTCCCCAAAAAATCCAATCCTTGTTAGAAACTTTCCAAAAGAATTCCATAACCTTCCTAAATATAGTAATAACATGATTTTCGAAAATAACCAAATAACGAAGGGTCAATTAGGGAGAAACCCCCCATTATTTGTTGGGGTCTTATGATTTAGGTCCCTGTTGACAAAACTAATTAGAACTAAATGACAAGCCCAACTAAACTTATGTTTCACATCCTTTATTAAATTCATTCAAAAAATGCCCCTCCACACATATTCGAATTTGTTGTAAGTAAAATTCAAACAACATTTATCGTTTTATTATATATTTAATAACTTCATTTTTTCATCTAATAATATATTTTATTTTATTTTTACCGACGTGGTCATCTTTATTTTTTCGTTTTTCACTCTAGCAATTTTTACTTTATTATAATTAAAATAAATTTAACATTTTATTGAAAATTACGGAAAAATAAATTTTCGATTTTTGTCAAATAATACAGTAGATTTTAAAAAATACTATGGTGCACTATGCTATACTATGGTATGCTATGTTATGGCATACTACGGTATACTATGGTGTACTACTCCGAACTCTATCATTCAACAACTTACAGCCGCCGCCAAACCCTAACTTCCAACATCTTCCAACCACCACTAAATCATAGCATCCAACAAAATTCAGTCGCCGTCAAATCCTATCCGCAAAAACCTAGTCGTCCACCGTACCAACCCTAGCCGCCGACCAAATTAAACACTAGCCGTTGACCAATTTAAACCCTAGCCGCCCTAGCCGTTGACCAAATTAAAACATAGTTGTCGACCAAATGAAACCCTAGACGTCGACCAAATTAAACCCTAGCCTCCATAGCCGTCGACCAAATTAAACCCTAACCGTCATAGCCGTCGACCAAATGAAAACCTAGTCGACATAGCCGCCACCCACCATCCGCCATAGATATGACCTCCACCACCATAGTCGTCGACCTCTTGCCTCCATAATGATCCCCTTATTGTCGCCGCCTCCCTAACTATGCTACATCTAATTATGTTTCCAACTAGGGACCTCTAGCATATTAACCCTTATTTGTTTTCATAGAACTAAACTCACTTTGTTATTTGCAATTGAGAGACTCCCTAACTTCTCATAACTCCATTTTACCCATACATTATTCCATATTTCCACCCATCTTACCCACTACGTATGTATCGTTATATTTTCTATTTTTTTTAATAAATTTAGTTTTTAATAAATTCATCTTTTTGTTTCCTGGAAGATTTACCGCATCATAAACAATTACAAATTACAATAATCAACTACAATTTTTTTTTTTCTTTATTTACTAAAATTATAATCAGCTACAAATTACAGTAATCAACTACAAAATTTTATTAGATAATCAACTATATTTTATTAGTAACCAGCTATAATTTTAACGTACGTACAATTCAAAACAACTATTTATTATAACAAAAACAACTGTTCAAAATCATAATCAACTACAAAATCACCGAAAGAAACTACAAAAGTCACCGAAATCAACTACAAAATCATCAAAACCAACTACAAATTATTGAAATCAGCTACAACAAAACAGATGTATTTGAACAACAAGGAAAGTAAAAATAAACTACATATCGAAAAAAACTCAAAACCATAGGTCTTGAATTAGATACATCTTCAATGTCCAGCTTTTATTTACAAAAGGTTCGACGATTTGGGTATCTGTGTACCATGAGTGTATCTCTGTTATTATTTTTTTACAGTGACCGCCAGTGGTATTTATCCAGTTGACTATTCACCACTGAACAAAACCACCTCCGCCGTGAAAAATAGGAGAGAGCGAAAAGGGGATTGATCAGCGACGAGCGTTTTCGGAAGATTGGTCCGTCGAACTGGTAACTCCGGCGAATTACTATCAAAACCCTTCAATTCACACAACTCCCCTAGGGGCACAGACGTATTTGTCGGCTTCTTTTCTCTTATTCCTCTCTGTCCGGTGGATGTTTAAAATTAACCTCCTTATCTACGCTTATCTCAATGGAGTCATATGAAATGTCTTCTCAACATTTTAATTCCAATCGAATCGATAAAAAGTTGTGGCTTTGAAGTGGATGGATCGAGAAGAGAGGGGGAAATAGTTGAATTGTGTCACCAACCCTCTTTAGGAGAGTTGGTATCTAGCATTTACCAATAGGGTAAAGGTCTAGGTTCGAGTCCCTCACTTCCCTACTTTCCCTTGTACTGAACTTTAATTTACTCCAAAAAAAGAAAAAAATTGTGTCGCAAGAGAGAGAAGGGGGAGAGTGGATGAGTAAATGACAACGTGTTTCAAGAAGTAAAAAAGGTAACTTGGGTATATTAGGTAGCAAACGATTTATGATTAATTTAAGGGTTAATATACTAGAGGTCCCTAGTTGGAAACATAATTAGACGTGAGATACAACCCTAATATATTGTTATGAACTAAATCATTTTTACAAAAATAAATATGATCTATATATTTTACATTTTTTTATCCCAAATTTGCTCTCAACCTAAACCATAAATTCTACAGTCACATTTCTCTCAGATCTGTTTGTTTTATTTCTTCCCTCTTCTCTCTCGTTTCGCTCGTTCTCTCTGCTCTCTCTCACAGTACGCTATCTCTCTCTCTCTCTCTCTCTCTCTCTCTCTCTCTCTCTCTCTCTCTCTCTCTCTCTCTCTCTCTCTCTCTCTCTCTCTCTCTCTCTCTCTCTCTCTCTCTCTCTCTCTCTCTCTCTCTCTCTCTCTCTCTCTCTCTCTCTCTCTCTCTCTCTCTCTCTCTCTCTCTCTCTCTCTCTCTCTCTCTCTCTCTCTCTCTCTCTCTCTCTCTCCCTCCCTCCCTCTCTCTCTCTCTCTCTCTCTCTCTCTCTCTCTCCCTCCCTCCCTCCCTCCCTCCCTCCCTCCCTCCCTCCCTCCATAACCATCATTTTTTATTTTCCGTTAGTACGGAATCAAGCATGTGTGCATTACTTTCTTAACAGACAGACTAACGCTAAATTGAAGAAAATGACAAAAAAGTGTCAAATTGTTGAACACATGAGGACCGAATGTGTGTATTTAAACATGGATGTCCAAATGTGAAACCAGTGCAAACTTGAGGGATGAAAACAGTAATTTTCTCAAATCTAAATATTAGGTTCTCAGTCCAAATATTTAAGTTGTAGGAGAATTAAAGGGCAGAAAGATGGGATGTGCATTTAATTTGAAAGGATATTCACTAGGCCAACATGATATACACATTTATTTACACGCTTCAATCGGAAACACATCGCAAAAAATCGTACCAAGTCATCGCAAAACTTTGTTTTATTACAGAAGCTCAAATAAATAATTTATATTTTTGGCACAACTTTCTTCATCATTTCCAGAAGAACATCATCTTTCTTGGATCCTTGAAGGTGATTAATTAACATGGACGAAGTAGAGGCGTCGGCTAAGAACCCCTTTTTGTGCATTTCCTCTAAGAATGGCATTGCCTTGTAAACCTCTTTCTTCTTCAGCAAGCCCTGGATTATGTTGTTGTATGTCACGCTATTCGGTGCACAACCACTTCTCTCCATTTTTATAAGCAAATCTTTTGCTTCCTCTATAAATCCTTCATGACAAAGTGAACGGATAACAATGGTATACGTTTGACAAAGAGGTTGCAAGCCTTTGGACGGAAGTTCATTTAAAAGTTTTTTTGCATCTTCAAGTTTCCCATCTTTGCACAAACCGTTAATCAGGATACCGTATGTGACTATATTAGGACTTACTCCTTTGTCTTCCATCGTCTTTAGAAATGAAAATGCTTCGGCAATCTGACAAGTCTTGCACAAGCCATCCAACAAAACATTGTAAGTACTTAAATCTGGACGTACGTGCCGAGCTTCCATATCCTTAAACAAATTCCATCCATCAGCATTTCGGCCTTCAGTTAATAATCCATGTATCATGGTGCTATACGTAACTGTCGTGTTCTCTAAGCCTTTCGAAGAAGCTTCGAGAAAAAGTCGCCAAGCTTCATCAACTTTTCCGTTCTTGCAATACCCGTTCATTAAAGAGTTATAGCTGATAATACTCGGCTTAAGGCCGCTGCTCGCTATAGAATCAAATACCTCTTTCGCTTTATCCATTTTCCCTTGCAAACAATACCCATCTATCAACGCATTGTAAGTGACAATATCGGGACTAATATTTTGTTGCTTCATAATTTCCAATACCTCCCGAGCCTCTTTAACATTTCCTTCCTTGCAAAATGCGTCCACCAATACAGTAAAAGTAACAACAGTTAAAGAAATCTTGTGATTCACCATTTCATTTAATAAATCCTTCACCTCTTTCCATCTACCAAAATCGCACAAGCCCTGAATCATCGAGTTATATGTGACAACGTCAGGTGAAATGCCCTTATCAATCATTCTAGACTTCAGCTCGAGTGCATTATCCACCATTCCAGTCTTGCATAAGCCATTAATCACCGCGCTATAAGCCATAACATTGGGTTTATAAATAGTCTTTTCCAATAAGCAAAGCAAATCATGCGCAGCAAGAACGTGTCCATTTTTGCAGAGCCCGTTTATCACAGTAACAATTGTAAAATCATTGGGCTCACAAAGTCTCAAACTCAAAAGTTGCTTAAACAATTTCTCCGCCTCGGCCACCTTACCATCGAAAAAGAGACCTTTTAGTAGAGTGGTGAATGTCACAACATTTGCGTTGTAGCCCTGTTTAAAGAAGATGCCGAACACAGCAAAACCAACGTCTACGCGTTTCAAAAGGCAACAGCAATTAATCAAGATGTTCATCGTGTACTCGTTCATAGGGGCAGCCGATTGACGCATTTCGTCGAACAGTTTAAGGGCATCCGAATATGCTTCATCTTGAAAATAACTTGCAGTAGTTTGGTGAATTCAAAAACGGAAGGCTGTGGCTGCATTCTTACCATTTGACGAAACAAGAAAAAAGCATCATCTAATTCATTTATACAACTCAAATCTATTCTGGGTTCAGGTGAAAAGGAGCGATCTTTGTTACCCACACTATGAAAATTTGAACAGAAGAAAGAAAAGGGATAAGAAAAAATACCGTAATGATGAGAAGATGCAGCAGTAATTGGTCTACGAATCTGCGTTATTTCAGATCCTCTCATCTTCTTCAGCGATTTTATGAAGATAATTCTACTGAAGAATGCAGCAACAGCAGCAGCAGAAGAAGACTACAGAAGGTTTGGGGCTAATGTTTAGTTTATGGGAAAATTGCATTTATATCCCCTATAAATTCAATTGTTTGCATTTTCCACCTCAAAATTAAAAAAAGTGAGTGTTCTACTCCATTTTAAGAAACTGCTTGACGAAATGATAGGTCCCAGCTAAACCAGACCCGGGTTCGGTTCGGTGCCGGGTCAGGTCGAGAAAATAATGACCCTTAACCAGCCTTTATGTGTAGGTTGGTCAACGGTCAAGTCTAACCCTCTGCGTCTCCAATTAAGTTTTTTTTTTATTTTGTAATAATTGCTATTATTTGTAAAGAGATGATTATTTTGATTATCACACCTGGTTAGCCTAGTATGGTTTACGTCAATCGTATATTTTTCAAGTTTTATACGAGAGTGTAGATTTACCCAGTGTACCTATGCAGTTCGGTACAAGTTTCCTTCGTTATAAAAAATATTATAGTAGTTTTAATCATGGTTATCGGATCGTAAAAATATCTTGTATCGTTTTTCTCCATGTCTCGTATCATATCGTTATCGTACCGTATCGTAAGATAATTAACCAACTATTAAAATAGTAAAAAATATATATTTACATTATAAAAATATTATAAATATGTAAAATTCAATATAACTACTTACTTCAAAATAGGTATAAATTCAAGTTTCAACATTATATTATAAAATATGACAAAAATCATATATGTTCATCAAATAACATCATCTAAGACGGTGTTTGGCTAGGCTTATAAGATGTTAAAACAAGCTTATAAGATGTTTAAGAGCTATTCTAATGTGTTAGGTAATTTTTGTAAAAGATCTTAAAAAGTCAAAATATTATAGGCTACTGGAGAGCAAATAGGATTGTTTTTAAAAGTACGTACCCCACCTATAATTTAAGATCTTATAAAGAGTAAAATAGCTTGTAAGATCACTATCCAAACACTTGAAAAAAATAATTTTAAAAGTAAGACGTAACAACTTATCAGCTCTTAAAACAACTTATCAGATGTAAGAGCTTATCAACTGTGTAAAATAAGCTTAGCCAAATTGTCCCTAAGTTCAAATCCGAATACCTAATTTCTAAAATATTCGATATCTCATAATTTTGAAGATCAATGTCACTTAAATCGTCATCATCTACCAATTTTAAACGATTGCATTCATCGTCATCAATCGCAAAATCAACAAAAAAACGCCTCGAATTGGTCTTGAATCGCAAGAATCTATAGAAATTGAAATAGGGTTGTAATATTGTGAGGGTTGCTGAAGAAATTGAAGAGAAAAATGTGCATTAAGGTCCGAATATTGAAGAAATCTGTTCTAAACCGTTTTTCAGAGTAATTGACTGCATTTCTTCTTTTTTTCTTCGTTTTTTTCATTTTTTTAATTATTGACTAATATCGTCAATATCGTATCGTACCGTGATACAACGATACGATACGATATCTCACGATATTTAACGGTATTTATCAATCGGCGATACATAACCCGAGTTGTATCATTTTGATTGGAACCATACCGTATCGCAATATATATCGCGGTATATCGCGAGATTAACTACCATGGTTTTAATATACTTAGTCACAATTATAAGAGATATACATAAAATACCAATCATTATATATTAAAAGCTTGAGCTCGCGAGTTCGAGTTTTTTTCGAGCACGAGCTCGCAAGCTCAAGCTTTTTGACGAGTCGAGCTCGAGCTCTTTTTAAATTGTTCGTGTATTCACTAGCCGGCTCGCGAGCCTTCATTTTATTTATTTTTTTATATATTATTTTTTTTCATCCATTAAGTTTGAATCGATTTCACATTTAGTCCCTCATGCTCACAAAAACACATTTGGTCCCTCATGTTTCAAAAATAAAAATTCAACATTTTTAGTCATTTTCGTCAATTTATAGTTAAAAGTAACGAAATCAAACATATGCCCAACACTACCGTAACTGATGGACTAAGGTTAAATTTATGGAAATGACCAAAAATGTCAAATTATTGAAACATGAGGGACCAAATGTATTTTTTTTTTTTTTTTGTAAACATGAGCGTCAAATGTGAAATTGTTGCAAACTTGAGGCATGAAAACTGTAAACTTTCCCCATAATTATTTCTATAAATGGGAAAATGTTCTCATTAAGCCACTTCTTGACTCTCTCAACTGCACAACGGATTTCAAGATTCACAAGAAAAATGCAATTATCCAAGCATTTGAAATATATATATATATATATATATATATATATATATATATATATATATATATATATATATATATATATATATATATATATATATATACACACGTATACGAAATTGTCAAGAAATCTCAAATGTATAATCTTCAACTTTGAAAATTCGAAAACTCGGGTTTAAAACACGCAAACATTTCAAGTGTATGTAATAAGGTGAGAATAAATATTTGCTAGTCCATTTTTTTTAGTTTAGCAAATTGATTACCTCTAAATAGGGAATGAGAATAACATCGAAAAATGTTGAACCATGTATCAACTTTTGAGGCTCCCAAAGAATCTAGAAAGGGGTAAAGGCCCCTCAGCCTCCTCTTCGTTTCCACTCCTTAGCTGCTTTGATGATCTCGAGCGGTGCTTTTTCTCTCTCTTACTTTTCTTCGACCTCGATTTCGATCGTTTCCTTTCTCTCTCTTCATCGTCGCTGCTTGATGTTTCTGACGATGATGTTGAACTGGAATCTGAAGATTCTCGCCTCGAACGCTAAAAATTAATTTACCAAAAGTGAAGTCATAACCAGAAAATCATCGATTGAACAAATATGAATAGCATTTCAAAATCTGGAATAATTTACGCACCTTTCGTTTCTTGCTGCTGTGTTTCTTCGAATCTCTGTCTTTCTTATCTGTAAATAATTCACAACGAAATTAAAAAGCTAGTAATTTTATGGAATGATTAAAAATTCCCGTTCGAGTAAAGACGTTACCCTTTTTAGTGCTGGATTTGGTGCTGGAGTGGTTTTTCCCGTGGGCAAGTTTACGGGCCCTTTCGGCATCTAACTGAGCCCGATAATCTCTCATCATCCTGTCTTTATCTGCTTCCAACTCTCCCTTTCTCATTTCTTCTTCCTAGCAATTTCTCCATTAGTGTCTGACTTATATATATATATTCCACTAAAACGGAATTCGACAGAAACTTGACTAAAGAATCAAGAAGATCGGGCTCAACCGAATATCAAGTCCAAAACTAATATTTCAACGATCAAAAAGAAAATCGAAAATTTCCACTAGAATGCAGTGAACAATTTGCTCGAAAAATTGTAGATTAAAGAATCTGACATATAAAATAGATAGAGAAATATGATAAAGACGAGTCAAGAAGAAGAAAAGTGTGAGAAAAATAACCTTTTGCTTCTTCTTGAACTCCTCCCAAGTGACGGTATGAGAAGTCTTGAGACTTGCCAAACGAGCAGCATGCCACTCTGGTGAATGAAATGAACCATCCACCTGCCACTGCCCTCATCAGACGAAGCACGAGCCACAGAGTACAAAAAACAACAGTAATACTAGGACAAAATGCACTTTGCCTCATATAAATTCGCACTTTCCCCCCTAAAAATTAAAAAAATGGATATTCCCCCTTCGAAATATTATATTGATTGCACTTTGCCCCATAAGCCAATTTTTGGAGGACATTGTGCAACAAAACAACATTTTAAACGGGCAATGTGCAAAAATGTAGTTTTTTTAAGGGGCAACGTGCAATAAAAATAACATTTAAAGGGGCAACGTGCAACAAAAATCCTCAACTACGATGAATAATCCATCGGAATTTTGCTATCGGGGCAATGTGCAACAAGAATAATATTTTGAAGGGGGGCATTCACTTTTAAAAATTTTAAGGGGGGTAAAGTGCAAAAATTAGAAATTTACAGGGGGTGATGTGCAATTTGCACATAATACTAACTTCTCCGAAAAGGCATTCAACAGTCAAATACCATGACGAATTTAACAAGTCAAAAAAAGGTCATAGATATACTCATTAGGATTAAACTTAATAGTTTCATACAACATATTCATTTCAAAAAGTCGGCTCTTAATTTCTATGAAATACTACAACATATTCATTTCAAAAGAAATTTTAAGGAAATCATGTTATAGATTATGCATGTTTGGGAACATTAAACAACTCAGAAAATAGTTTTATCAACTATATACATAACATATCTCATTAAACATAAAAGAAGTCGAATAAAAAAAATCAATAAGATGAGTTAATGCAAAAAAAATTTAGAAGATATCAACAATTTGCAAAAGGATATAAAAACAAAAAATCGAAAAGAATTTGCAATTCGTCATGCATATACAAACTCCTAAGACTAACCTTGGACTAACATCGAATTCCTGAATTTGAACCAATAACTTTAAACACTCCACAAGCTCGTCTTTTTTCGCAGAAACAACTCCGATAGGAAATCAAATAATCCCTAATACTCTTTCTCAACATCTATTGGAGCATTAATCATTTCAACCAAAATCTTCTAAAATAAAATCTAGAAATTCCTGAATTTCAAACCAATAACTTTAAACACTACAAAACCTCGCCTTTTTCGGAGAAAACAACTTCAATCGGAACATCAAATAAGCCCTAATACTATTTCCCAACATCCATTGGAGCATCAATCATTCCAACCAAAATCTTCTAAAATAAAATCTACAATAAAATCTATAAATTACTGAATTTCAAACCAATAACTTTAAAAATTCCAAAAACCTCGTCTTTTTCGGAGAAAACAACTGCAATCGGAACATCAAATAAGCCCTAATACTATTTCTCAGCATCCATTGGAGTATTAATCATTCCAACCAAACTATTCTAAAATAAAATCTAGAAATAAAATCTAGAAATTCCTGAATTAAAAATTAAGCATGTCCATAAACTAATTTCACAGAAGAACATCATAAAATTATAAAAAAAAAAATACAGGAAATAATGAAAATACATGTATGGAAGGGTACGAACCATGCCATCTTCAGCTTCTTCAGGCCCGGCTGAGCTCGAGCCGAGCCGAGATCTTTGCATCGCTTTGTACGCTTGATTTTTGCCCATTTTTCTCTTATTTAAATTAATCTTACGATATTCAAATCATGGAAAATAAGGAGACAATTGAAAAGGGGGAAAAATCGGAGAATTGAATTTGATGATTGTAGCAAATTATGGGGGAAAAATTTGCAGAAGAATGTATGTGAAGGTTTTATTCTGCGGGTTTGTGAAAGAGAAAGCACGGTGGGATTTGAGGGGCAGATTTTATTATCTGCATTAGAAATATAATATGGATAATAAATTAAACACTTGGCATACATATATATATATATATATATATATATATATATATATATATATATATATATATATATATATATATATATATATATATATATCAAAAATAAGTATATCTACTTCATTCTTAGGTGGTGTTTGTAAATGATTATTTAAAAGCAGAAGTTAGTGATTGTGAATTAAGGTGGTGTTTGCAAATGCTTTTTGAAAGTGATTATGCGGTTTTTTTTTGCTCATAATCTGTTTTTAGGTGTTTGCAAAATCAACTTTTGCTTTTGTTTCTCTTAAAATAATCTGTTTTAACCTATTTTTTTAAAAGCAACCCATAACCCTGCTTTTTCAATTTTAGTTCATTTTCCGAAATATTTGCAAACACCCCAAACTTTTAGAAATAAGCACTTAAAACTAACTTAAATCACAATCACTAACTTCTGCTTTTAAATAATCATTTGCAAACACCACCTAAATCAGTTTTAAGTGCTTATTTATAAAAGTTGGGGATGTTTGCATATATTTAGGAAAATGAACTTAAATATAAAAAACAGGATTAGGGGTGCTTATAGAAAAATAGCTTAAAGCAGATTATTTTAAGAGAAGCAAAAGCAAAAGTTGCAAATACTTGAAAACAAATTATGAGCAAAAAAAAGTTCGTAATCACTTTCAAAAAGTGTTTGCAAACACCGCATTAATATTAAAATTAAAGTAAAATCTCTATATTTATAAATATTGTTGGAATCAGGAAAAAGGTATTATGTTCGATTAATTATTTAATTATCATAATTTTTAAAAGATAATCTAACTTATGAGTAGGAATTGGTGTGAATTGGAATTATTATTTTCGAAGTAATGATTTAATTTTTTTTCCAGAAGCGAAAAAATAATTTCAATCTTTTCAAAAAAATCAGAAAAAATAGAAAATCAAAATGAATATAAAACTATTCCAGAATTGAAAAAAAAACCTGGAGTTGGAGTCGGGGAAATTTGAAAATTACATTTGTTTATCCACCTAGTATAAATAAAATGTAAAAAATCATAACTCTCCAAATCAATTTTGTAAATTAAAATACAACAGAAAATTAAAGCTTCATATTTAATTTCTTTTTATTCTAAAAATTTCATAAGATAAAACATAATTATAATTACATAAATTGGAATAGATTATTTTGTTCCAAAATTATATAAATAGGTAAAATATATTAATAATAATTGAATCATAATTGGCGGAAGTCGGAAATCCCGGTCAATTTTTTTTCACCATGTGTGAAGTGGTGGACTGGGCTAGTGGGCTCTACTAGATATTTTGGGCCACGAGAAAATAACTGTTTTATTTGTCACGGAAAATATAACTGAACCTACCAATTAACTTAGAGCCTGTTTGGCTAAGCTTATAAGCTCCTAAAAACATCTTATAAGATGTTTAGGAGTTTATAAGTTGTTAAAAGGTGTTTGGTAAAAAAATTGCAAAAGATCTTATTTTTTCTAAAAATAAGCTGTTAGGGAGCTTATAAGATGTTTTTTAAAAAGTACCTCTACCCCACCTTTTTTCTTTAAGATCTTATTTGCTTCTTTACTAAAATACTTAAAATACAAAATTACCCTCAAATACTTTATTATATTACATGAATACTAATAATATTTATATTTTATCAAAACAACGTATCCTTGTAATCAAGATTAATAATTAATTAAATATAATTTTCGTAATTATCATAATAATTGTAAAAAAAATATTCTCTACTTGTATTTTATATGTATATAAAAATACACGAATATTCTTATTATCTCCATAATAAATTATATTTCTTTCATCTATAAAAAAAATTATATTTCTTTTACAACTTTTATTTTATATTATTATATAATTTTATATTATTATTATTATTTGAAAAAATAATTTTCAAATATTATAATAATATTTTAGGAACAAAGTATTTGAATCAAATAAGTTTAACAATTATATTGGCGTCATGTACTTTTTTGTCATTATAGCAATAAACAGACCTTTTATTTCCAAACACCTGAACAACTTATAAAAACAAAAGTAACTTATAAGCTACATATCCAAACACCTTAAAAAATAAAATTTAAAATAAGATCTAACAGCTTATCAGCTCCTAAAACATCTTATCAGATGTAGGAGCTTATCAGATGTTTTAAATAAGCTTAGCCAAACGGGCTCTTAATTGAAAGAAAATTTTACTTTTTTTTTTTTTTTTTTATCAAAATGTGGTTGTAAGATGACTTTAACAACTATGTATTATTTGATTGAATACAAAATAATTTTTATTAAAATTCGGTTTGTATAAGATGACTTTTAAAACTATGGATTGTTATAGTTGTAAGGTGCAAGATTGATTACTCCTAAAATATTACTCCATCCGTTTCTAATTAACTGTCGTTTTTCAGTTTTGCGCACGTACTAAGAATGTCAATGAATATGTCTTGATTTGAAAAAAAAAACACAATAGACTAAAATAATTTTGATCATTTAATGATGTGGTAAAAGATAGTTAATATTTAAAGTTGAATTAATAAGGTTAAAATATGAAGAAAAAAATGCATTTCATGCATTATTGGAAATCTAAAGTGACAGATAATATAGAACGAAAATATTTTTTAAAAAATACAAAAATTATTATAGAACATAAAGAGTATATTCTTTCACTTGTAGATTAGACTTCTCCATATATTTTGTTGAGTTTAAAAAAAGTTTTAGGTGGTGTTTGCAAAAGCTTATTTAAAAACAGGAGTTAATGATTGTGAGTTAAGTTGAGATTAAAGTGGTGTTTGCAAACGCTTTTTGAAAAGTGATTATGAGCTTTTTTTTGCTCATAATATGTTTTCAGGTGTTTACAAAATCAACTTTTGCTTTTGCTTCTTTTAAAATAATATGCTTTAAGGTTTTAAAATCACCCATAACCCTGCTTTTTCTATTTAAGTTCAATATTTGTAAGCACCCCCAAATTTTAGAAATAAACATTTAAAATTGACTTAACTCACATACAATCACTAACTTCACTGTTAAATAATCATTTGTAAATACCACATAAGTGTTAATTTTTAAGAGTTAAGTTGAGAAAAAGGAGGTGTATGGGTGTTTTTATAATTCTAACTTAAAGTAACTTCTTTTAAGAGAAGCAAAAGCAAAAACTTGTTTTTTAAATATCTAAAAACAAATTATGTGCACATAAAAAACTCATAATTTATTTATAAAGGTTTGCAAACACCACCTTAATCGGTTGTTCTAATACTTTAATTAAAAAAAAAAAAAAAAAAAGTGATCTCCACTTCTTGTTGAGAGATGGATAATTGGATATTCCTTTTCATTTTTTCATTTTTTTTAGGAAAGAATAATTGGATATTCTAAGCTAGATGTCTAGTTTGAGTAGCATTTGCGTCACACGACGAAGGGTCGTGATTTATTTATTTATATATTTGTGGTTGACCTAACAAAAAATAGATTTCAGGGTGCTAAAAATTAATATTCATTTGGAGAGGAAAATTCGAAAACTAAAGATTATTCTTGATTAAAATAATAAATAGTATTATAATGATTAAATAATATCAATTTATATTCTTGATTCGAAAACGGCAAAGAATAATTAAAAAAAAAACCAACAACAATGGCATCAACGTTTTTTCTATTTCTTTTTCCATCCGTGATTATAGGAAAAATAATACTAGTAATAAAATAATTGAAATAGCAATGATTGCCAAATACTATTATAAAGTTGAATATAATAAAATGTATCTTTTTAACTTTTCAAATTAAAGATTTGATGATATCATTACCATGAATGAGACATATTGGTGCTCCAAAGAGGTGTTGCATGCACAATGTACTTCAACACAATTTATGCCCCCTACATGAAATTGGCAAAAATAATTCATACATATACATAGGGGATTTCGTTATGGTAGGGTATAGTAATGGTAATTACCAATTTATATTATCTACTATTTAAATCTAAATTCAATATTATTTTTTCAAAGCAATTCAAGGTATATACATGTTTAAAATATTCAAAACTAGTATTTATGAAAATATAAGTATTCTAAATACATGTTCTTAATTTGCCTAATATGAAATATTTCGTAAATAAAATTATAACATAAAAACTTTTGACATCAATTATATCATCATTAATAAAAGCAATATAAAATATTTTTGACATATCCAAAGAGTATAATTCATTTTAGCTAATAGTAGTTAGTTAGGATATTGTGTTCACTTTTTATATATAATAAATTAATTATTAAAATAAAATTTTATTTATTAATTATATTTCGGTACGGTAGGGTAATACCATTTTAATAATATTGAGTGACGTTGTCCTACCAAAATATTTCGGTATATAGGTTAAAGTAATAATTCGGTAGAAATATTTCGGTGGAGAATCGGTATGGTTCGGTAGGGCAATTTGGTAAAAAAAATTCATCCTACATATACATATACATACATAGGCTGAAGGAATTGAAATGTTTTTTTGTGATTTTTTTTAATATATTGATGAAATGTATTTTTATTTTTGTGGTTTATAGTTTTGAAATGATTGATGAATAATAAAAAGAAATTGACATTTAACATCCTAAAAAAAATGTCATTAAAAAATTAAATTAGCTTCATTAGCTTCAAAAATTCATTCGGGTGCACTATACATGATTTCTTGTGTTTTGAGAGTGTAAAGTGCTATTAATTTTTTTAGGGGGTGTAAAGTGCTATTAATTATTTTAGGGGATGCAAAGTGCTATTAATTTTATAAGGGTGCAAAATGGTAAAAATATATATTTCAAGGGTGCAAAGTGGGATTAATGCAAGTAAAAGGAGTAAGAAAGTAATAAAACAAATAACACATGATGATAATCGTACGGTAATGCGCAGGGTCTGAAACTGGAAACCCGTGAATATCGCGTTCTCGAGAACCGCGAAGGCTCCTTCAGATTCACCGGCTACCGGCTGTAGCCTCGCCGGATAATTATT